GTAGTCTGGGCACCCTCTTCCATCCCTCCATGCCTGCTGTCCTCAATGGGGCTGGCGGGAGCCTGGCCAGCGGTGATGCACGGGATATCCGTGTAAGGAAGCACAAGGAATGGATGAATGGATGCGTCCTGGCAGCTCCCGCTCACAGTGGCTCTGCTCCTCCACCTGCACTGAGTTTTCTCCTCTCTCAACTTGTTTTCTCTCTTTCTTTCCTCCTTTCCCGTGCCTGCTCTTTCTGCTCCCCACTCTCTCCTGCCCCCTGGTCCTGCTCCCTCTCCTGGCGGCCCCTGCTTGGGATGTAGTAAATGTGGTGACCTAGAGGAGGAACTGAAAATTGTCACCAACAACTTGAAGTCCCTGGAGGCCCAGGCTGACAAGGTAGGACCCGGTGGGGCTGCTGGGGCTGGGCAGAGTGCGTGGGGTCTGGGGGTTCTGGAGTCTTCTGCTGGGGTGAAGGATGACCGGAGGTGTCCCTTGGGGCTCATGGGTGCCTGTCTCTGTCTCTGCAGTATTCCACCAAGGAGGACAAGTATGAGGAAGAAATCAAGCTTCTAGGGGAAAAACTGAAGGAGGTAAGGGGTGTGAGACCAGCCCTGCTTCGGTGCAGGCACAAGTGTGTCATCCTGTGTGGGTTTTGACCCTGCTATGCCCATGTCCTCTCACTGTTCCCCAAACTGCAGCCCTGCAGCATGGCAGGTGCCTGGGTCTGGGATGCCCCCGCCATCAGCCTGCTCTGGTTTAGGGTGTGAGGGTCCATGGGGCCCTTGTCCCTTGCCTTTCCCAGGAGAGGGTTCATGGAGAAGGGTAGTGGAAATGCAGATGGGGCAGATTTGGGATGCAGTGCAGCCTGCACCATCCCTGTTGTGCCTCACCCTCTGCCCGCTGTGCTCCCTCAGGCTGAGACCAGGGCAGAGTTTGCAGAGAGGTCTGTGGCGAAGCTGGAGAAAACCATCGATGATCTAGAAGGTAAAATGTCCCCACTGGCCTCATGTCCCTCTTTCCTGGGGAGCACTGGCCACAATGTGCCCCTGGTGGGTCTGGACAGGGCTTGGCCAGGGTGAGGGGGTGGGCAGGGGTCCTGCGAGGGGGTAAGCTGGATGCTGTGTTGCCCGGCATGGGAGCAGAGAGCTGCTGGGGTCTGGGCTCTGCCCTTGGGTGGGGAATAGGGTAGCATCCATGCCACCTGTGCCTGCATGCTCCTGCTGCCCTTGGCTCCCCGCTCACAGCCACTCTCTCTCTCTTCGACACTTGCCCCCTGACCTGCTCCACCACCTGCCCCCCGCCTGCCCCCCACCTGCAGATGAAGTGTATGCGCAGAAGATGAAGTACAAAGCCATCAGCGAGGAGCTGGACAATGCACTTAATGACATCACCTCCCTCTGAGCCCCCCCACCAGGCACTAGCACTGCACCCTCTTGCCTGCCTTACCCCTCCCCAGCTCGGCTGTTTGCCTGCCTGCCTGGCTGTCCCACCACTCTCCCTGCCCGCTATGTCCTCCTCTGTCCTTCCTAGACTGTGCCTGTGCGTCGGCTCCTTTGGGACAGGAGCTGGCCTGGGGGTTCCTGCAATACCCTTCTTTGAGGACAGATGAGGTGATTTGGTGGGATGGGGGAGCAGCCCCTGGGACCCCCACACTCTGGGAGGACAGTGCCTGTGCAGTTGTAGGTCCGCGCCCCAGCGTTGCCCCGTGGGGAACAGGGCTGTGCTCAGGAGCCCATCATTCCAGCAGCAGCCTCCTCATCTCTCCCCACAGCTCCAGGGCCAGGGGGCCACCTGCCCCTTGCGTCCCCCCAGCAAAGCCCCCGAGTGCTGTTTGCTGGGCCCAGCATGGGGAGGACCTGTGCAGGTGAAGCGTCACCTCCACCGCCAAAGCTCAGGCCCAGGGGATGGAGGGTTGGGTCAGGCTGTGCAGGCAGCGCTTTCCCAGGCAGGCAGGCAGGCAGCCCCCGGACCCCTGGCTCCTCCCTCATCCCTGCCTCCCTTCTGTCCTTTGCACATTGCTCTTCAGTTTGCATTTCATGACTTTTCTTTTATGTTCTGTCCCTCTGGATTACTGAGTTGGTCTCAATAAAGTGTTTTCTTTCCTTGGTTTCTCCTTTGTTTTCTTCATGCCACTCTGTGCTTCATCTTCTGCCTGTCTCATGGGGGTGCCAGCAGTGGGGTGGTAGGAGGTGGCTGGAGGCAGCTCGCAGCTGTGGGACCCTCAGGATGGCCGTGGCTGAGCCCCGAGCGGCTCCCACACTGCCAGGCTGAGCAGGACAGGGCCCTTTCTGCCCTGGCCCTGGGAATGACCTCCACCTTTCACCCCCAGCTCTCATACACAGCTTTCCTCATCTCGTGCCATCTTCTCCATGACTCTTTTGGCCTGAAATAGCAGGATTAGACCTGGTCCTGTCCATTCCCCATCTCCACTCCCAGACATTGCCTGCAGGCCTGGCATCTCTTGTGCATCACCCTCCTTCGATGAAGGGGCTGACCCTATCCTTCAGCAGTGATCCCGAAATGGGCCCCTGATCCTCCTCCCTCCTCAGCATCCTACCCTGCCCCAGAACTCAGTTCCCAAACTGATGGACCCACAGCCCCATCCCTGCCCTGGGATCAGCTGCCCCCTCCTTCAGCTGAGCTCATCCCCGCTGCTGGCTGGGTGGCTGCGGGATTTCCAGCGAGGGCTTTGGGGAATGCTATCTCTTTTCACTAACTCACCTTTCTCTCTTTCTTCCCTCTGCTGCACTGATGTCTCCGTTTTGTCTAGAGCGCTCCCGGCAGGAGGCTGAGAAAAACCGCGTTCTCACTAATGAGCTGCGGGTCATCCTTACCGAACTTAACAACTGAGCTGCCCAGAGCTCCCGGCCCCAGCCCAGCCTCCCACACCCAGGCTGCTGCTGGCCCTGCTCCCTGCCCCGGTTTGGTCAGGCTGGCTCAGGGCTGGGAGCCTCTGCCCACTCCCCGCTGGGGCTAGGTGGGGTACGGAGCCTTATCCCCCTGGGTGTAACCGCCCTGTTTGGGGGCCACAGGGAGCCCCTCTGGAGCTGATTGTTTTTTCTTGGGAGAGGAATGAGGGGTTTTGTGATGTCCTGGGATGCCCACACAGTGATGGCTGTTCCCCGGCATCAGCCTGGCCCTGCCGGGGAGGGATGCAGTGGTTTGTATCACTGCCTTCCTCCCCTTGTCCCAGGAGTCAGCGGCCAGCCTCATCCTCCTCACTCTGGTCACCCCAAACTGTGCAGGGAGGATCCTCTTGGAGTAGGGTCCCTGCAGAGTGGTGGGAGGGCTGGGATAGGATCTGGCAGCACCCGCTGCCACAAACTTGGGGTGAGGGACAGGGAAGAACCCAGCAGGGAGTGCTGGGGGGGGTGGAGCTGGTTGGGCAGAGCTCTTGTCCCATCCCCATCTCCAGAGGCAAGGAGAATGCTGTTTGGAAGCGAGTACTGGAGGAGGCTGCCTCGGCAGCGGGCTGCCTGGCAGAGCTTGTCCCTGCAGCCTCATTAGCTCTGCTCCTTCTCCCTCTGCTGTCCTCTCTGCCCACTTTCCCGGGTTGCTGTCTCACTCCTCTTCATGGAGCACTGCTGGGTCATGCTGCAGGCACCAACTCTCCTCTTTCACTGGCCAAGGATTTGTGCACGTGCCCACAGCCGCCCAGCCGGTGGTGATGCCTTGGGGCAGGACATGCTGGTGGCTGGCCAGGAAATGGTACCCGTAGTGCAGAAGGGCCTGGCTGTGGGCAATGGAGTGGCAGGGAAGGATGGAAATGCCAAAGAGCAGGAACCGCCTGCCCCCAGTGACCAGCCCAGCTGGCCTGGCCATGCCAGCAGGTCCTGGAGCAGCTGGGCTCATGCCTGCTGGCAGTGGGGCCGCCTGCATGGACTCAGTTCTGCAGGGACGTCCTGCTCGGCTGGAGGCTGGCACCATACTGAAATGTCCGTCTGTGTGTGTGTGTCTGTGCTTTGTGTGGTGTGCCTGGGTCCGGCTGCACCTGGGTACACTCGGGCTGTGTCTGTGTGCGTGGCTGGGTGTCCCTTGTATTCACAGAGAGTCTGGCCAGTGCCAAAGAGGAAAACGTGGGCATCCACCAGGTCCTGGACCAGACCTTGTTGGAGCTGAACAATCTCTGAGCTGCCCTGGGGAGCCCCCCGGCCCTCTTCCCTACTCCACACATGCACCCCACTGGCACGCTCAGGATGTCATCAGCTGAACTGCGCCTTGGCCAAATCCACACATCCATTGAGAAGGGAAGCCCTGCAGCCTTACACTGTGGCTCGGGGGCATCTTGTCTGTGCACAGCCTGACTGGCTCTGTCCTGTGTTCATGTCCAAATATTAAAGCAGTTTGACAAGATGGACGGGTGCGTTTGGTCCTTGTGGGTGGGCGCAGGCACTGGGAGATGCGGTGGGGGTCTCCCTGTCCAGTTTGTGCAAGGAGGCTCTGCAGGGGCTTGAGTCCAGGGTGAGTATGGCCAGCGTAAGGATGTCCTCTGCAGCCATGGGGCGCTGGGAGCAATAGCGCACGCAGTTTGGGCTGCATTTCAAGTGCACAGTGCACATATGTCACTGGTGTGTCCCGTTCCGCAGCCAGCATGTTTCCTCCTTGGGGAAGCCACAAGGTCTTTGACCTCTCCATGGAGTCTGCTTCATGGTTCATGATGGCATCTGAGGATGCATACAAGCGTGTGACCATGCACGCACACATTATTAGTTACCGGAGTCTTCTGCAGGTCTGGGGTTACCTACTTACCCTGTGTACTAGTTGCATTTTCTATTACCAGTTGTTGAATGCCTGCCTGAGGGACAGCTGTATAAACTAGCAAAAATTTTGCAGTAGGCAACTGCTTCCCAAAGCATTCAGGAAGTTTGCTCCTGGCTTGCTGTATTTTCTCCAACACAAAGAGAAGTGCAGCAGGATGTGCCTCATTGCTGTCACCAAAATGGGCTGGACTCCCTGGGGATGCCCAAAGTCATGATCCAGCCCTGTTCTCCACTTCGGGCCCCTCGCAATGTGTGCCGATCCCTGTTGTCCCATGCTACCCAGCGGATATCCCTCTAAAAGCACAGCCTCATGCTGCCAGGAAACATAATTCATGCTGATCCCTCACTGAGCTGGGCCACTGCCCCAGCGAGCAGCCAGCAGGGATAGCTTTCATTATCTGCTTTCCTTTATTTGCTCAGGAAAGGAGGGTGGTGACATTGCGTCTCTTTCCTGCCCAGGTGCTCCTGGAGTCCTGCCCTTCCCCTGGCCCTGCACCTCTGGTTTGTGGCTCCGAGACTTTGTCCTACAGGGAAAAGGGCTCCTCTCATTTTCTGGTTATCCTCCCAGGCTGCGAGACCCACTGGGAGCCACAGCCTCCCTCCATGGGACCTCCCTCCATGGGACGTGCTGGAGGGAAGGACAGTGCACAGTGTCCTGGCCCACGGAGCAGGTCCTGTGCAAGAGAGCTGGGTGGAGCTCCTCCTTGGGTCCGCCTTGCTTTTCCGCAGCACATTAGCTAAGCCATTCCATTGCTTGGTCAAAGCACCTTCCAGGCCTTAAAGAACAAGAGGGCAAACCCACCTTTTCTCCAGAAGCCTGCACCCCACACTGCAAACAAGTCTGCCCTGCACTGCTATCAGGGTGCGTCCCCTGGCGCCCAGTCTCTGGGTGTCTTTTTTGACAAAGAGCCCTTTCACACCCAGTGCTTTTCCCCATTAGCTGCTGCCGCCTCCTGTTTTGGACCAGTCCATTTAACTTAACTATTTACACCCCACTGCAAAGGCCTTTTTTTCCTCTGAACTTTCTGTGGTTTGGCAGTGAGATCCTGGCTGCTGTTCCCAGGTGATGCTCTGCCACAAAGACATGAGCCAGCAAAGCTTTGCATTTTCTCCATCCTCCCACCCATGTCCTTCACCCCACAGCCCTGCGGAAAGTGACAGGCCAGGGGAAGTTCTGAGAGACCAGTGAACTGTGGACCTGCTGTCAGAGGAGCTCAACCTGGAGGCATGTCTCCCCATATGCATCACGCAGACCCATGCTGAAGACTGCAGTGCCCATCCCCTCCTCCCTCCCCTTGCACCTCTCCCGTTGAATTTCAACCTTTGGATTTGTTTGTCTTGGCCTGACAGACCAAAGATCTCCCTGAAGAGCTTTCAGCCCTGGCATGGGCTGCCACTCCATTGATAAACCATGACATTAATCTCCGGCAGCCTCTCACCTCCGCTCTCTTCTCCGCTTTTCCCATCGCTCTGGTGCCTCATCTCCGAATCCTTCCTTCAATACCATTGAACTACACGCTGGAAGGGAAGGACCACACAAAGAGCACCACCAGGACATTTTGATGAGACGCGGAGCCGTGCACCACCACCCCCCAGTCCCTCCCTGCATTTACAGCCTGAGACATTTGAGTGAGTGTGGGAAGAGCCGTGCTGCCGCGCCGTGTGGGTTTTGCGGGACTCTGGGTGATTTCAGAATAGGTCAGGCTGCCTAAAGCCAAGTGCCACACAAAGCTCCCAGTCTCCAAATCGCTATTAGTGATTTGTTGATCCCAGCAGTGAACGAAGCAGCTGGAGGAAAACACAGGCGGCCATAACCATACAGCACCGTCTCATGTCTGTACACATACAGCACCATCTCATGTCTGTACAAGTTCCGCACGCCCCGTACGCAGCACTCGGGACCGCACCCCACATCGGGGCTGTGCTGCCTGAGCTGTGAGTGTGGAGCAGGCAGCGCAGGAGGAACGTGTGGCCCCTGCCCCACATGCTCGGGGGCTGAGGGGGTCTGTGAGCAATGCCAGAGCCCCCCTGCAGCCAGGCAGGCCTAGGCGGGGGGGACAGGCAGCTGGGGACCCTCGGGGGCCAGCCCAGGTCCTGGGGTGCAGCGCAAGGCCAGGAGGGCACCTGCGAAAGGGCCAAGCTCCCCTGGGTGCAGGGCACGTCCCCACGGCACAGGCCGT